AACCTGCCCATCCCAAATTCTCGTTCTGAGTCTCCTAGTTACATTCCCAGGAAAATACCCTCAAACAATCTGCACAACACACAGACATTTCTGCAAACCAGAGCAGGCTCTCTGCCCTTCTCGGCAATGCGCTAAGCGAGATGCTCCGATGAACTTCTAGAGCATTAAGACTTCATTATTGGCACAAAACATACACAGTATTATTTCCTAATATTCTATAAAGTAATAGCCGTCAATTAAACAAATACTCTGATGTCTTCCTTTTAAAGTATTATTTTGCTTTGTCACTAATTTGCACAATACAATAATTTTATATTACTTTCCTAGCTCTGTGCTACTATCACTGGCTCTGACCAGCCATTTTATCTTTTTCCAGCTCATAACCCAGGCCTATAGAATGGGTGGCAAATAAATTCATGCTGATGAACATAATTTCAAACAAATTGCTCAAATAAATTGTGCTGCATCTTTTTAAGATAGCCATTTCCCCAAACGTTCTCTTTAAAGCACAACACATTTGGCAAGGGTGCTCTTTAGATGTCAGGTATCATCTAAAATAACGCGTAACAGATTTCTTCTAAAAATATGCCACTTAAAAAAAAATTACGCTGCAAATGCTAACGGCTGCACTGAAAACGTATCAAAGCAAAATAGCACAGAGAAATGGGGGAACGAATCCCATCTGCTAATGGCCACACTCACAGCTTGGAAGGGCTTGGGAATGTGATGCTTTATGGAGCATGGCTCTGAGGGCAGAACTCAACTAGCACGCCGGAAAAGTAATCCTACGATTAAAAAGAAAGAACTGAAAAATGAAGTAGTATTATGTGTCATCTCACAGATGTACTCCAAAAGAGATATCAGCCTAAAAAAAGTATTAAAGAAATTAAGTCAAATAATTAGCAAGGAATCTTGGCATGTGAAGTTGGCGAGATGCTGCATTCAGACAATCTCCTTCTGTGGTAGTTGTCATTAAATGTTACCGTGAAGGTATAAGAACACAAGAAATGCATCAATAGCAGAACTATAGAAATTTATCTTAGCAGAAAATTGTTCCTATGCAACTGAATAATTAGTTTCGCTGAAGCCACTCAGCCTGCTACCGCTGTCTGCATCCCCTTTTGTCTATTGCTTGTTAAATTCCTATTCAGCCATCACTCAGCTCTGAGATGATAGGATTGGATAATAAACAAAATAATTAATTTCCAAACTTGTAATACACTGTAACATATTTCCTGGAATACGGGTTTTTGCAACTGGTATTTTGCATTCTCTCATGATTGAGAACTCGGCTCACATGTATAAGAGAATTTGAAGACGGCATAATTTTGCCATGAATCCAACGGATGAAACCAAATTCACGCTCATTTAGGAGAGCCAAGTGAACAAATTTTGATGCACGTACCATAATGTCTGCACCAGCCAAGTCAGCCCACACATACCGACATGCAGCGCAGACAAATTACGTATGGATGGAGCACGTTCCCCTTTGGACTTCTTAAATAAGAACCGCTACCGAAACGGGGTAACTCCCTTCGCCAGGGCAGTACTGACAGCCAAGGGCAGATTGGCACCCTCTGCTCCTCACCAGCGCTGGCGTATACTGGTACCACTGAAAATGAGACATATAGTCAGCCGAGGCCTTTAAACAATCTCATTAAAACAGCACAGTCTCTTCAGTCTGAAATTACGAGTGGACCCCAGGAGCACGGGATGCTCACAGGACTAACCTTACAGTCTGCATAACCAAACAGATTAAAAAACTTGCAGAACGTCAGTCGAATACCTTTTCTTTTTCCTGCTGCGAGACTCAAAATCCTCGTGAAATCTGAAGTCACTGTTTCATTTTCCAGTGGCGATGAAGGTACGATAACAAGAGGCGAACTCACAACTCAAGACTCATTCGTCTCCAAGCACAGGCGAACCGCGTGCTACAGCGCAGGGAGGATGAGCACGGGAGGGCATTCTCTGGGTCACTGGGTCCTTCGCGGCACGGCGATGGGCACTGCCACAAGCGAACAGGCTGCGCACTTACCTCTGGCTTTCAGCACGAGCTAGGGTATCAGAGCGCACAGAGGAATCCGGCTTAAGAAACCGGCACCATCAGCCTGCAACGACTCACAGCTACACCCAGCTTGCTGGCAGTAGGTAGGAAGCGGCTGATTACAAACTCGGGGCGGCGATTTCCCAAGCCTGGGTCTCTACTGGGGAAGCTGAGAGGTGGTCTGTCAGCTTGGCCGGTAGAGAGAGCTGCCCCGAGGGAGTAATGGTCCCCGTGCCGCCCTGGGTGATGGGGTGCGAGGTCTGCAGCTCCACCTGAGGCACCTTCCCTACGCCGTCCTCTCCGATTCCCCCCGGCTACCACCTCCGTTAAGGGAAAAGGAAAAAAAAAGAACAATTTTGAAGTGACTCCTCTGGAACGCTCTATAAATGAAGCCGTGTTCATATAAACAATTAACCGGAGAGATGGGATGAGATGATGAGGGCAACTCAGGATTCTGGTGGGAGGAAGGAGAGGAGGAGAGAGAGGCCAGCAAGACTGTCAGGGCTGTAGTGCCCGGAGGGCAGCACCGGTGCTCGCCTTCCCCGAGAGGGCAGCGGGGCTCCCGCGGGGCTGGGGCACCCCTGAACTCGGGGTTAGCACCCGACAATGGGGGTGGGTGCTGCCGGGAAGGCATCTGCTCGTCTGCTGCAACGCCGCAGCATCGCAGCCTGTGGCACTCAGCGCCTACAAAACGCTACCTCAGAAGAAAAGCCATGTCGTAACAAAAAAGCCCTTTGATTTACAACATCTCTAGGAACAGCTAACCCCTTCACCGCCTCCCCTAGCTTAGTCTTCTGCGGGACGTCTTCTCCAACCCACGTTCTCCTCCCTGGGGACTTCTGCCAGCTGAGCCGTGACCCCAAGAGCCGACGTCTGTAGCTCAAACAAACAAGTTGTCCTTCATCAGCGTGTTATGACAAACTGCGGAAAGACAGCGCTTTGTGATTTACAGATTAAAATAGCAAAGCAAACGTCGTGGTGTTTGCTCCCCTTCCCTCGTCACTGGACGCCCACCCATGGTATATCACAGCACACCTGCCTCCGCTCCCTGCACATTCCCTGACCAGCACCCAGAGGTGGTATCGCTCTTTGGGAAAGGTCTTTCGGCACAAGCGAAAACAGAAGGATGGCCCTGCCCTAATTAGGACCATTTAAAAAACCCTTTTTAGTTTCCTTAGGGCTGTACGCATAAGTTGGCTGGGTTTAATTCAATGAACTTGAAGCAATGAAGTTCATTGAAACCGGTTTGTACAGAGTTTTCTTTCGTGGAGGCAGCATTAGACAATGCGATGCTGGATCCCAGGAGAATATTAAACATTTAATATACCGGCAAGTATAACATTATATAAAAATGGTGCGTGAAGGATGAGCAGCAGAGCTAAAAAGCAGAAAAAGCTCACGCTCATGGCCAGGCTGCTGCTGAGCAGTGTGGACCTCCAGTTACTGAACAAACCCGAATCCGAGAGCTTTTCCTTCCTTTATGACTACACAGTGGCTTTTGCTAACATCACAGATGAGCAACTTCCTACGTAGCCAACTGTAAGCAACTCTTACTAATAGAACGCAGCAGTAATTTGCAGTAATTGTCCGAAACTGTAGTTTATGGAAAATACTGTTATTATTGATTTTGGACCAAAGCTGAAGCATTTTTATAAGGGAGATAAGGAGTTATTGTTCCCTAAGGAACTGGTTTTACTAGCTGTAGGAGAGTGTCGCTATGAAAATTAATCTCAGTACTTTTCAGTATAATAATGTATTTTAAATTAATTTTCTTGGTAATTCCTGTGCCCAAGGTAACCAACAGTACCCCGCCTTCTCTAGCTACAGCTTCTCCTCACCAGGTTAAAGACTGCAGAAATTGCCAGTTTTCCAGGCTAAGGTTGGCAATATGAAAGCACACTAGTTAACTTTTGCAATACACAAACTCATCAAAGCAACTTCCAGGGTCTCGCTACCGCACAGGCTGCCGGAAGGTCTGGGGGAAGCCCGAGCTGAGCAGAAGGCAGCGACAGCTTTGCCACTGCTGTCACTGGAGCCGGGGTTTTAATCCGCATCTGCACCAAAAGCACAGCAAACACAGACGCAGTGCTCCTGGGCAGGAGGAGTTGTACGCTCAGTGGCGTACAAAAGCTGACATTGGAATATTCTAGGCAAAACTACCAAAACCTCTAAGATTCATTTCCAGTTTAGTGCATCAACACACTTCCCTGTTGCAAGCAACATCTCTCCTGTTTCTGCTTTGACTATTGCAAGCTCTAGCTCCGTAAACGTTGCCGTGACTGCTATTATTGTACCATTAATGGGTGACTACCATCCCTGCGTAACATGATGTCTTTGCTATGACTGTTGCTTAACTCTTCTCTCTTGCCCCCACGCTGCGGTTCGATGAGCAGCCACCCTTCCCCTCCCTGAGCTACAGACCCACCCAAGCAGCCCGTCTCCGGAGACCAGGCTTCCTCCATGGGGCTCTGGGGCCACCAGTTCAGGCCAGCAAAGCAGCACATGCGCATACTGGTTTGCTTGACTCCTCCCCAAAAGAACAAAGGAGAAGGGAGCCCTCTCGCCTCCGGGTCTGTGCTGGCACGGCTGATCCTGGTGACGAAAGCCTCTCAAACCCCACTCTGCATCACAGCTAAATGATGGAGAAGGACTGAAGCCGTGTCCTCAGGGGTTACTACGGCGGCCAGATGGGATCGCTGCTTTCTTGTACAGTCACAAGTCCTGATTTGCTCTGCGTAGGTCCCACCAATACTGGACTGTCTATCTGTTAGTTAAATAAGGTTTCCAAGCTTGACCAAGCCTGCTGACAATATTTTAAGACCGTTTCTTTGAAAGAGCTACTGGGCAAGCAAATGGCTTTTTTTTTTTCCCCACCACAATTATTCAAATGGTTTTAATCTGGTTTTGGTTTTGGTTTTGTTTTTTTCCTTGAGAAGTAAAATAACAGCCTTGCCGATTACTCTTTGCTAAGGTACCCGATTGTGGTGACATTGAGGCTGACCTTGGAGTCACCTCCCCCGCTGCCGCACTCTCCTTTGTCGTACCACCATTTGTTTTTCAATTTGTCCAAGAGGCCTTGCTCATTCAGTTTTAATACTGCCAGGTTAACAGCATTTCTTGAAACGATAAAACATAACTTGTAAGAAAAAATGCACAAATGCTTAGGAAATCGTAACGTATAAAAAAAGGAGCACAAGAGGACAAATTGGCTAAAATTTCACAGAACGTGGAGCTATCAAAATGTCTGTACAGCAAATACAGGGTTAAATATTGTAAGGTGGCATGGAGGATAACATTTGCTCAAAACTGAAGTGTGCGGGATGGGGAAATCGTCTTTGAGAAAAAAGGTAACAAGAACACCACATCATGCAGTTAACATTCGTCACATATGGCAGGTTAACTCGGCTTTTACCATTTAAATTGAAAAAGCCATTGAACTGTAAAATTAAAACAGCAACAAACAATCAGAAAGGACAACACGAAGAGAACACTAAAAAAATGGATGCATTAAATAAACGAAACCATAATTTACCGTCTTATTTAACTCCATGGAATATTGAAGATTTTAAACTTTAAAGTTACCTCAAAATCCACAAGAAAGAAAATGACAACACAATACATCAGGGTAGGTGGAATACTATAACAACATGGATATTGTTATATTATTCCACCCACCTTAATGCTGAGCCTTTGGGGGTTGCTACACCATAGCCCTTGGAATCCAGGTTGCCGCCAACTTTCATGGTGTCGCAGGGCTTGCGCTGCTCGATGTACTCGTTCATCGTGGACTCCAGCAGGAAGGCAAACTTGCCCTTCGACTTCCGCACCCTCGCCACCCCGTCTGCCGTCGTTTTGGTGAACACCGAGGGCTCGGCCGACTTCATGTACGACCACATTTTCTCGTAGACGGCTATTTTTGACCTCTGGGAGAGACAAAAAAGAGGGAAATGAAGAGCCGCGTTGGCAAGGGCACAAGACTGAGCTGCTTGGGCTTAGTCGCCTTACGGGTATAATTACGACCCTGTAACTGATTAAGGCTAACAAATAAAAAAGTCAAGGTAGCTCGGAGGGAGACACATTGCCCCCCTGAACAATGACCAAACCATAAAAATGGTTGGGGAGGGGAAAACATATCTCAGACATTTATTCTGCTAATTGCCACGTAATTGGCAGCCCGGCAGTCAGAATGAGAAACGGTGTGTGCCCGTCCCAGCGCCCCAGCTCCGGCTCTGCCGTGGGTTTATCTGCCTGCGTGCTGCTCTGCTACTGAGCCAGAGGGAGGACGTTAAATCCCAGCTCATCCATCACGGCCAACAGATGCAGAAGAACCCTCTCCTCTTCGCACAAGTCCTCACTCAGCATTGGTTTTCTGTGCTAACTCATAGCCAGGAAACACAGACATTTGCTTATTACAAGTTCCCAGCAAGGCAGGAGTCCGCTGTTCACAGCGGCGATGGCAGGTCTACGATACAGGAGACCAAGACAGCTCTAGTGGCTTCTAATAGCGATGCTCACACGAGGGGTATGAATAGTAATTACAAAATCCTTTATGAATCAATGGTCAATTTTTCAAAATTCAGTGTCAGGTTTTCCTAAAAGATAGCAAACACAAATATTAGCAATAAGCTGACTAAATTGCTGGTTAACTGCTTGCGTGTCATGCATATATGTATTTTTTCTTTTCCCCTGTTTTCCTTGTCTTGAGACTGAGCCAATCCTAACAGCCTCTAGCTCAGCATACAGGTTTTGTAAACCTGGAAACGTTGAGAAATGTGTTACTTCCCCTTCTCCCTCTTCCCCACCAGTAACATTTAAACCACCCTCAGATCTGAAAGCCACCTCCAGACTCTTAAGCATTCATATCCTGGACTACCGGTTCAACTTTCCTGCTTGGTCGACAGAAGGCAGTAATGCCAACTGTATTTCTCTAAAGTCTAGAAATCCAAAGGATTTATATAAGGCTTTCGGTCCAAGCTGCGGGTATCTCGAATTTATACCTCCTACTCCTTGCCAGGTTCCTGTCCACAGCTTTCCTTGCAGAATGGGAATGAGGCAGGCAGTAGCTAAATCTAGTTCAAATTTAACAAACTTGTGGCAGAAGACTGTTAATGTCCATCAGCTTGATGATCGAGACACGTTTCCTCCTCGTTCAGGACAATTTAATGTGTTTTGAATAACGTAATGCTTAACAACCAGCCTCCGAACATTTCACAGGGAGCAAGCCCTGCCTTCACCGTTCTTCAGATTAACGTGCTCAGCTAGTGTCGCTACGACTGATGGAGAGCAGCATGGGCGGCAAGATTTTATTTTAATTATCCTTCCTGATGAGCTGAAAAACAACTGAAAATGCAAACCAATTAACATCAGCCTGATCGACAATAGGAAATCAGAGACGACAACACAGTGCAGCTTCATCAGGAGCTGGCTGGGTGGCGGGTGCGAAAAACAAGCAAGAGGGGTTTCAGCTGAGAGCGTTTCTTGGCTAAAGACGGGCTGTACGGCTTCGGTTGTGAAGAAGCGATGGGAGGAAGGGGGATATAAATGGGGCCTGAAATGGTCCTCGCACAGATAAATGAGGGAACCAAGGGATTTGCCTGGCTTCCCCTGCAACAGCAAACACTGAATAACCTGAGATGCGGACAGGGGCTCTGAGCTGTGGTGGGCAGCATGGTAAGGTGCGTGTCCTTACAAACTTCATCTTCTTTGAACATAAATAACACAAACACACCTGCCCATTTATATTTGCAAGTGGGCATCTAAGGGACAAAAGGAAGGTAAAAACACAGCTTTACTCTCTCTCTTTATACCACTCGGCAAGCTGAAGTGGTTAGCCTTCAAAAATTGTGCATGCGCTACGTATGCTTTTCCTTGTTTTCCTCTGCAGAGTGTGCCCTCAATTACACAGATAAACCAGAATTTTTTTTCATTTTCTAATTCACACCGGAATATCTGTCTTTAATAAGTTCTTTCATACTCTTTCCAGCTGGCCTGACTACCTAAAAGCAATTGCCAATACATCTGTGCATTGTTAATAATAACAGTTATCTGATGAGTGCCAACAGCACGCTCAGGGCTGCAAATGGTCCAAACAACGCACGTTCCCTGCTCCAAGGGCAAAGGGTGAATATCCTCATTCGTGCTGCAAAAAAACCCCCAAATTCCACGGCTCAAAACCCGATCTCTTTTCAACTTTAACAAATAGCTTAAGCTTTATAGTTTGCTCCCTTCACTTAACTTTTGGATGATGTGGTTAATAAAAATCAGTACATTTCTATATCATCATTGTCTACCTCTTCTTCTGCCAAGTAGGATTTTCATAATATCTTGTTATTATCAAATTAACTAAATGGGTATAGCAGTCTGATCTAGTAGAAGCAGACAAAAATGCAAGCTAGAAATAAAATGCATCGGGCATGTGTTGGTTTCGGAGCGGCCAGAGCCTGGCTGGGGGAGTCTGAGTGAGGACCCACGGACGTCCTGGGAGTAGGGACCAGGGAGGTGATGGACTCCAGCCACTGCATCCTGCTCGGTTAGCGCTACTCTTTGCAGCCGTTCCCCTAAATTCACAGTGAGGGCAAAATAGTGATTTATGATGAGGCTTCTTAGACAAAAGGACAGTGCCACCAGAGGAGCTGGGAAACCTGCAAACCTGCTCAGAAGTGCTTGCGGGCGTTTTCCGCCCCAGGTGCCATATCTTACATCTGCTCAACAACATGAAACAATCAGTTGATTAAAGCTGGTCAGACGCAATGAGATGAAATGAAAGACGGTATTTTAGGCCAGTCAGTCTCACCTCTGTGCCCGACAAGATCTTGGAGCAGATCCTCCTGGAAACTATGCTAAGGTATGTGGAAAATAAGGAGGTGATCTGTGACAGCCAACACGGCTTCACTAAGGGAAAATCATGTCTGACAAATTTGGTGGCCTACTACAACAGGGCTACAGCATTGGTGGATAAGGAAAGAGCAACTGACGTCATCTACCTGGACTTGTGCAAGGCATTTGACACTGTGTCGCATGACATCCTTGTCTCTAAATTGGAGAGACACGGATTTGACAGATGGATCACTCAGTGGATAAGGAATTGGCTGGATGGTCGCACTCAAAGACTTGTGGTCAATGGCTCGATGGCCAAATGGAGACCAGTGACGAGTGGTGTTCCTCAGGGGTCAGTACTGCGACCAGCACTGTTTAACATCTTTGTTGGCGACATGGACCGTGGGATCTAGTGCACCCTCAGCAAGTTTGCCAATGACACCAAGCTGTGTGGTGCAGTTGACACGCTGGAGGGAAGGGATGCCATCCAGAGGCCCTGAGAGGCGGGCCCGTGCGAACCGCATGAAGTTCAAGAAAGATGGCCAAGTGCAAGGTCCTGCACATGGGTCGAGGCAATCCCAAGCACAACTACAGGCTGGGCAGAGAATGGATTGAAAGCAGCCCTGAGGAGAAGGACTTAGGGGAGTTGGTGGACAAGAAGCTCAACATGAGCTGGCAACCTGCGCTTGCGGCCCAGAAAGCCAACCGTATCCTGAGCTGCATCAAAAGCAGCGTGACCAGCAGGTCAAGGGAGGGGATTCTGCCCATCTATTCCACTCTTGTGAGACCCCCCTGCAGTACTGTGTCCAGCTCTGGGGGCCCCAGTACAAGACAGACATGGAGCTGTTGGAGCGAGTCCAGAGGAGGCCACGAAGATGATCAGAGGGCTGGAGCACCTCTCCTATGAAGACAGGCTGAGAGAGTTGGGGTTGTTCAGCCTGGAGATGGCTCCAGGGAAACTTCAGAGCACCTTCCAGCACCTGACGGGGCTACAGGAAAGCTGGAGAGGGACTGTTTACAAGGGCACGGAGTGACAGGACAAGGGGGAATGGCTTTAAACTGAAAGAGGGGAGATTTAGATTAGATATAAGGAAAAAAAATCCAGAAGCCTGTGAAAGACTTTCAGAAAAGGAAAATTTCTTTCCTAACTATAAAGCTGCAAATCCTGTGCTGAAAGAACATTTTCACCCATCTGTCCTCCTCTGCAGACGTTCACGCGGCCCCTCGCAGCCCCCGCCAGTGACTGTGTGCCTCCCCAGGAGTCTGACACCTGCGAGGGGCCAGACAGCAGGAGCAACCATAGAGAAAGGATTTACACTCCAAAATAAGGTAAGATCTGACAGATCTGCACTGCTGCTAGAGTTCAGCGGCAGTAAAACATTTTCCCTCTCATTAAAGTGTTACTTTTAAAGAGATATTTAGAAAAAAACTTAAAAGCAAAGATTTAAACCAATTCAAAGCCCGTAACTGCAGTAACTCCCTATGCTCTACAACTCCTATTTCGTTTCTTTGATATTGCTCTCAAGAAGTCCGTCACACACATTTCCTCAGGATTTCAAGGGGATATTATTATCATTTTTTTTCTTAAAAGCAACATTTTCAGTGTTTCATCTAGGCCTTGGGACACATTAAAGCGTCTTTTCATTATGGCAGCCTTACTGCAGATATAAATAGAGCTGGCCTTTGCTTTGTCAATAGTGCTGGTTTCTTCTTTATTCGGAAATGTTTATGCAGAATTATGAGCCACACACACCTCAGCACAAGGGTGCAGGCAGCTGCCAGCAGAGCCAGTGACGCTGAGGAGTCACTTCACCCGGCCCGTTACTAACCGGTACCTAAATACACGATGCTTCTGGGCAGCAAGGTGTTCGTTTTAAAAGAAAGTGCCAATTCAATCAGTCCACAATTTAAACACTGTCTTCCAGTCTGGTTCTCCTGGTTTTGATGCGTGGTTGGCAACAGTACTGAAATGAAAAATGAAACGAACCCACAGTGTGCCACAGCATCACAAAGTGAGCTGGACGGAGGCAGGTTTACCTCTCAGTTACCGTTACTTCTTCAATCCATTCAGCAACTACGAAACCCCAGCACCCACAAACCTGGCTCC